CCGCCGCCGCTCCCCCGCCCCGACGGTAGGCCGGCTAGCGCCGACGGCGGCGGCGAAAAAGAAGCGGAAGGGGCGTTTCGGACGAAGCGGAACGCCGTCGGGGGAATCGACGGCGGCGGCGGCGGCTGCTGCTGCTGCTGCTGCTGCTGCTGTCCCGCGCCCCCGCCACCACCGCGGGGGTGGGAAGACGACGGGGGGGGGAAGAAGAGGGCGCCGGTCGGCGCGGGCGCAGACGCGGGCGCACCGGCTTGCGCGGCGGCGGCAGCGGCGGCAGCGGCGGCGCCCGAGCTGTCCGCAGAAGACATGGACGCCGACGCCGCTGCCGCAGCGGCCGCCACCATCGCGGCCCTGGAAGGCCTCGACGCAGACGACGACGACGACGACCCATCGCCGCCGCCGCCGCTGCCGTGCTTGCGTGCAACCTCTTCGGCCACAGTCCGCTGCCTTCTTCTCACGGGAACGTAGTCCTGGGGCTGCCGCTCCCACCTCGCGCCACCGTCGCTTGCCCCCCCGCCCCCCGAGGCGTTGAGCAAGAGCTCTTCGTTTCCTCCTCCTCCTCCTCTTCGAACCTGGCGTCGAGATTGGCGCGCCGCCAAGTCCCGGGCCCGCAGGTAAGGGTTCCTCACGTCCCTCCTGGCCTGGGCCACCGCCGCCGCCGCCGACGACGACGACGAAGCCGCTCCTCCCGCCCCGGCCGCCACGACCAGTGCCCTCGAAGTCCCCGTTGCCGCCGCTGTTGCCGAGGCTTCGGCCCCGTCCTCCGCCTCACCCCCCGCAACCGCGCCAGAGGAGAGGCCGGCGGCAACTCGTCGAGTCTTGGGTATGTACGAGGCCCCTCCCCTGCGCACTCTCCTCTCGGTGGCGGTACCCCCCCCGGTCGGGTCGGCGGAGCCCCCCGCCATCGCCGCGGCCGCCAGCTCCAGGCGCGCCTCGGCGTGCGCTCGCCGAGAGTGGATGGACGCCACCAGGTTGTTGATGCTGTCGGACCCGGACCCCGCCTCGGCGGCGGGGAGTCGGCCGATTGCCCCGAGCTCGTCGTGCAGGTTGCACAGCTCGTCAAGAGACGCACGCAGCCCTTCCTGCCCGGCAGCAGCAGCAGCAGCAGCAGCGGCCGCGGCCGCGCCAGCGGCGGCGGCAGCACCTGACCCGCCGCCGCCAAACGCCGGCGGTTGCCCCGTAGGCGCAGAGCTTCTGGCGCCGCCGCCGCCGCCTGCTGCCAAGGCTTCGTCGGCCGCTTCCTGAGCCATCAACGCGTACTGGTGTTGCGCCCGGGCCGGCAGCGCGCTCGCCCACCCTAGCCTGCTCTCCAACAGGCCCGCCGCCCCGCCGGCGCCCTCTCCTCCCCACGCCGTGCCGCACCTCTCTGCGACTCGGCGTAGAGTCGCGGAGAAGGAGTCCGGATCGATTCCGCCGCCGCCGCCGCCGCCGTCCTCGCCGTGCCCCGTCCAGCCGGCCCCGTTCCAGTACGACGGCTGCGCTAACCCTCCCCCCGACGGTTCGGCGGCGTTGTTGTCTACCCCGGTGAGGGAAGCGACCAACTGGCAAACCCGCGGCCGAAGCCTCTCAAGCTCCTGCTGCACGTTGCGCGCCAGCTGGGTGCGCTTGTCCGCCAGCCTGTTGGCCTCGGCAAGCTCCGCCTTCCGCGGAAAAAAAAAGAGGGGAACGGACACGCCGCCGCACGACAACCGAAAGGCATTGTTGTTGTTCATGTTTGAGCGGGGGCCTTTTGTTTCGGCGGGCACACACTGACGTCAGGCGCGGAAGGCTGAAGTGTCCACTGCATGCAACCTTCGAGGGGAAGAATCGGCTTCAGCTATCAGTCAATCGCCAACAAGCTCTCTATTCTCTCGAAAAACCAAACCAAAAACGAGGTTCACAAGGGTTCAGGTAGACGCCCCGGGAAGACGAGACAAAGCCCACGCCAGTCTTGTGCACCTCGCTGGGTACTACATACCCCCCCCCCCCAACCCCCCCCCGCCGGTGGGCCACAAAACAAGAAAGAACCCCGGGCGTCCCCGGGAGGAAATCCCTCCCCCAAGGCCCCAAGAATCGGAAACTGAAATGGGGGTACGCCCCATACCCCCCCCCCCCACACAAAAACACCCCCAGAAAATCGTAATTGGTGTGGGGGCACCTGACAACCCAAGGCCCCTGGACAAGAAAAAAAAAAAGGGGGTGGGGGGGGGGAAAATGGGGGCGTTAAACT